TTTTCAGTGAATTAAAGAAGAGTCTGTCAGATAAGAAAATGGGGCCTGGGAGCCCTAATCAACCAGGAGGATTGCTCAGTGTAGTAATGAACTGAATTACTTGGCTACTTTGAAAGTGTAATCTCACTTTTAATACATTTGGGCTATGTCACTAAGACAATTAACTGACAAGTGGTAGGCTAAGTGACCTAGGATGGGGACTGCACCTGTGATTCCACTCATTTATTTTTTTACTCAGGATACTCCTTTTATCACTACAAGTCATCAAGAATCTGCTCTGCAATTTATAATCTTAGAGAGTTGCCTAGAGCACCTGAGAGGTCAGGTGATTTGCCCAAGGTCACACAGCCAGCATATGTCAGTGGCAGGAACTGAAGCAGGTCTTCCTGGCTCCAAGGCTGGCTCTCAAGACCACACCTGTGCTCTTTTTGCCTACTTCATGCCAAATAACCAATTGGAATGATTGAATGAAAAAAAGTGGAAAGAGTGCTAGAATTGAAGTCTGAGGGTCTGGCCTCCAATCCTAGCCTTGCCAAGTTACTGCCTAGTTGACCTTAGGCAGATTCTTCACCTCTCCGGACCTCACTGTCATCACTTATTAAATCATCAGGTTGAACAAGTAGAAATCCTTGACAATCCTATCATTTGATGACTTGTAGGCAGCCAATCACCTAGTACCAATCAAGTTCTACTATGTGTCTTGGCACCATGCTAAGCACTAGGGAAGCAAAGAAAGGTCAAAACCTCCACCACCAGAAAAATAGTCCCTGCCCTCCAAGAGCTCACAGTCTAATGGGGGAGTCAACATGCAAACAACCATGTACAAATAACACATATAGTGCACATGATAAATTGGGGGTGGTCTTGAAGAAAGGCACTAAGATTAAGGAGGACTGGAAAGGCTTGTTGCAGAAGATGGGACTTTTGCTGAGGGAGCAAAACTTGAGGGAGGCCAGGGAATCGAGGAGGCAGAGGTGAGGAGGCAGACGTTCTAGACGTGGAGGATGGCTAGTGGAAACACAATCTAGAGATGGGGTGTAGTGTTTAGGGAACAGCAAGGAAGCCAGAGTCACTGACTATGTAGAGAGGAGTAAGGTGAAAGAAGACTGGAAAGGAAGAATGTGATGAAGGACTTTAAAAATCAGAGGACTGTATATTTGAATCTGGAGGTAATAGGGAACCACTAGAGTTTATTGAAAAGAAAGGTGGCATGGTCAGATCTGCATTTCAAGGTCAATTTGACAGCTGAGTGGAGGCAGTATTATGGTGGGTAAGAGATTTGTTTTCAGTGAAAAAACCTAGCAGGCTATTGCAATAGTCTGGATGTGATGGGCGCCTCAAGCAACATGGTGGCAGTGTGAGAAGAGAGAAGAGGGCTTCTAGCAGAGATGAGTTACAACAAGTCTTGACAAATAATTGGATATAGGAGGTGTGTTAACATTCAGGAATGTGAGTATACACCAGAAGTCAATCAACAAGCACTTTTTAATTGATCACTAGGTACCAATTACTGTGGTAAATACTATGGAGCTAGAGAAAGGCAAAAACATGCTTCTCTTCAAAGGGCTCACATTCTAGAAACTACATTGAAAATGAAACTGATTGTCAAGGAGACTGACAATTGAAATTCCACATCTAGGAGGTCAAACTTTCGTGTATCTGTGCAACTTCTATTAATATTCTTTCAGTTTAACTATTTTGGGAGGGCTGTTACTCATTTCCTAGCTATTTATGTTTTTTTGCTTCCCCTAACTGGCCCTGCCCAAACCTATAAATTCTCATGTAAACTTTGCATATGGGCATGATGGGCCCAGCTTGCCTTAAAGGAGGACTTCCCAATTAATGGCTCAAATCCCTTTCCCAGAATCTTGGGGTAGTCTCAGTAATCACCCACCAGGGAGACTGGGCCTTTACATGTCACGTCATAATGTCCCAGAGGCAGGTTTTATTATAACTACAATAATTGAAGGAAGGGGGTAGGGAGGAGGGAAGGCACAAAAAAACCACAAACAGCTTACTAGGACCCTAAAATGCATGCAATCTCCAAATGAGTATTTCTGGGAGTCACAATCTAAAAACCAAAAAGGTACTTTTAGTTAAGGCCCTTTCTAGGGACACAGCTTTTTTAAGTCCAACAGACAAACCCCTTTCTACCTCTTCTTTCTAGGGTCAGAGGCTTTCCCCTTAGACAATCCTCAGAATTTTCAGTTCAATTTGATAAGATTCAATTCAACACACACTTACTAAATTATTACTAGACACAGTAGGATGTAGTCTATAGAATGCTGACTGGAATCAGGAAGACCTGAGTTTGAATTTCACCCCAGGCACTCACTCACTTGTGACCCTTGGCGAATCATTTAATCCTTCTCAGCCTCAATTTCCTCATAAAATGTGGATAATAACAGCTTCTACTTCACAGACATGTTGTGAGGATCAAATGAAATAAGAATATGTGAAGCACTTTGCAAGTCTTAAACCACCACATAAATGTTAGACATTACTACTATGTACTAATTTTTTGTTTTGTTTTTTAATGGTGTAGTTCCTAACCTCAAGAAGCTTAAAATCCAGCAGGGAGGATGAGACCTAGAAAAATAATACTAACACAAGTTAGAATGTGATTCAGACACAGGAGAAGTCAAGCCCAGTCACAATAAAATTAGATACCAATGTGAAGGACAGATTGGGGAAGAGAGATCAAGTTACGAAAACTTCTCTTAACTTCATTATCTTCAAGGATAAAATACAAAGTTTGGACTAAATGATTTCTGAATCCTTTCAGAATTTAAATATCACGATCCTGTGATGTTAGGAGACAGTTTAAAGAGTCCAGGTGAAGGGGCACCTAGATGGCGCAAAGGATAGAGCACTGGCCCTGAAATCAGGAGGACCTGAGTTCAGATCTGGCCTCAGACCAAACACTTGACACTTACTAGCTGTGTGACCCTGGGCAAGTCACTTAACCCCAATTGCCTTAAAAAAAAAAAAAGAGTCCAGGTGAGAACTGGCAAGGCCCTGAACATTTAATTCATCCAATTCAACAAACATTCATTAAGCTATTAAGCATTGGTCCTTAGTGTAGTAACATTTCACATAGTTACAACAGCTAGCATTTATATAGCCTGGGTGACTGAGAGGATAGTGGTAACCCCAACAAAAGTAAGGAAGTCAGGGTGAAGGGCAGGATTAGATAGAAAGAGAACGAATTCGGTTTGGGACATGCTGAATTTGAGATGCTGGGAGAATTTCTATCCTGATGGTGCAAGCTAGAAGGCAAGATCTATTTTGTGTTCTTGTTTTCTATCTCCAGTGCCAGTGATTACTTGTCTTACAAAAACTCACCAGATCCATTTAGAAAACAAATTTATATAGGCTTATGGAATTTTTTTTAATCAGGGAGGGAATTATATTTGCTGTCTGACAGCCTGGGTTCAAATCCTAGTTTGGCTACCTTCTACCTGTGTGACTTGGAGTCACTTCACCTCTGGGCCTCAGTTTCCTCACCTGTAAAAATGAGAGGGTTGAAAGAGGACACAGAGGTTAGTAGTTTTAGGAGCAGGAAGGGATCCTTGTAGGTCTTCTGGACAAACCTTTTCATTTTACAGATGGAAAAGCTGAGGCCCAGAGGTAAAAGGGCTTGTCTAGGTTGGCACACACACGCACACTTGATTTGTTTTGTGCCCAACAAGCACAGTGACAGTCGTTCACGTTTGTCCGATACGCATTAGGTCCTTTCCAGAGGACCTTACTGACCAAACTTCCCTGGCATACTAGGTCTCCCGCGGCGTCAGGAAGCGAGGCTCCTCTTTCCTACGAGGCTCCCGCCGAAGCCCAGCAGAGAATACAGCCCTGAGCCTGACTGACAGCGACTGCCCTGCCCTTTCCCACGTGGACCCGGGTTTGGAGGACCAAAGTCTAGCGGTTGCCTTGGGAGACACTAGTCTCTGCGCATGAGGGCAGGAGGATGAAGAGACAAGTATGCTTGGCGCAGGGACTCCGGGGCACTCAGGGCGGCCACGGCTCGTACCCCGTCTGGAAGATTTCCACAACCACCCCTCTCCTTTCCACTGCACCCGGCCTTATTCCACACGCCCCCCACGCCACCGGCTGCACCCGGCAACCCCAACCCTACACCCGGCGCCGGGAAGGGAAAGCCCCACCCCCATCGATTCGAGCAGCTACTCCGCCCCCCTCCCGCCCCGCCAAGCCGTCACCCAATAACTAACCCTGGAAGGCGGGGCAAAGTGTCTGTCGTGAGGGCATCCTGGCGAATGAGGAGGCGGGTGGGCGGGGCGCCAGGGACAGTGTCACGCACGGGTCCGTGTGAAAACGGGGGTTCCGAGTGCAAAGCAAAGTTTTTTTGTAAACCGTCTGCAAAGGCGGGGGGGGGTGAAGAGAGAGCCCGAGACGGGGCCGAGTGCAGCCGCCGCCTCCTCCTTCTCCTTCTCCTCGCTTCTCCTTTCCGCCGCCGCCTCCTCCTTCTCTCCGCTCTTAAGCTCGTCGGTCGCCAGAGCCAGACCGAGGATTCGCGGGATCGAGGAGCCCGCAGTCCCGAGTCCCGGCGGCCCCAGATGCCCGGCTCCCACCCCCGGCGCGGAGCTGCTCCTCACCCGGCGCCGTCGCTGCCTCAGCCCCCGCCCTCTTCCCTCCGCTCGGCTCCGGGCGCCGGCTTCAGCTGCCTGTCGCCTCCGCCACCGCCCCTTTGGAAGGGAGCGCCGAGTCTCGTCTCGGTTTCGGCTTCGGCTTCGGCTTCGGCTTCGGCTCCGGCTCCGGCTCCGGCTCCGGCTCCGACTCCTGCTCAGGCGCGGAGGGGAGCTTGAGGCGCTCAGCCGGGCCCCGCAGGGTCTTCTACCCCTAGCCCCGGAGGGTCTCGGCCGTAGTAGTTGGAGGAAGGTCGGTTCCCTCGGGCTCCCGGCGGCCCCGGCGGGGCTTGGTACCGCGCGGGGTCCCCCTTCGCTGGGCAGCGTCTCCGGCCCGCCCGCGGGCCCCGCTTTCGCTGCGTAGGGCCCATCCCGGGCTTGACGGGTCCCGCAGCCATGGGGTGCTGGGGTCGGAACCGGGCCCGGCTGCTGTGCATGCTGTCTCTGACCTTCATGTTCATGGTGCTGGAGGTGGTGGTGAGCCGGCTGACCTCGTCGCTGGCGATGCTCTCGGACTCGTTCCACATGCTGTCCGACGTGCTGGCCCTCATCGTGGCCTTGGTGGCTGAGCGCTTCGCCCGGCGGACCCAGTCCACCCAGAAGAACACGTTCGGCTGGATCCGGGCCGAGGTGATGGGCGCGCTGGTGAACGCCATCTTCCTGACCGGCCTCTGCTTCGCCATCCTGCTGGAGGCCATCGAGCGCTTCATCGAGCCCCACGAGATGCAGCAGCCGCTGGTGGTCCTCGGGGTCGGCGTGGCCGGGCTCGTGGTCAACCTGCTGGGGCTCTGCCTCTTCCACCACCACAGTGGCTTCGGGGACGGGGGCGGGCCCGGCGGGGGCGGCCACGGCCACTCCCACGGGGGGCACGGTCACAGCCACGGCCTCGCCAAGGGGGTCCGGGGCAAGAGCAACCGCAGCGGGGGCAACAACAGCAACGTGACGGAGAGCGAGCGGGCCGCCGACCGGGAGGAGACCAACAACTTGGTCATCAACAGCAGCAACTCGAACGGAATGAAGCTGGACCGAGCAGGTAGGAAGGAGGGCGGTCGCCGCTCCCCGCGCTGGCTGCGGGCTGGGGGCTCCGGAGCGGCTGCTGACCCCCGCCCCGGCCCTGGGAGTGAGGGGAGAGGGGGACCGCACCGCCCTCTGCTGTTGGACGCGGGCGCAGCCGGCTTCCCTCCCCTCGCTTTCCCCCACGTGGAGAGTCTTGACATCCCCTGCCCACCCGACACACACCCACCCGAGCCTCGTAGGGATAGCTGGCTGGGTTGCGGGGGAAGAGGGCTGAATTTGTCAGGAGGAAGGCGCCTGGATTCCTTCCAGTCCTGGTTCTGCCACTCGCTGGGGGTGGGGGGTGGGGGGTGGGGGGCAAATAAATCACCTACCTCCCTGGGCCCAAGTTTTCCCTTCTTTAAAAAGAAGGATGCTGGACTGACAACCTCAGGTTAAGCCCATGAGCCTTGTTTGCCGGGCACGCCGCTAACCTGCGTGGGGGGTTCGGAGAAAGGCCGGGAGAGTCTCTGCCCTCAAGGAGCTCACGTTCTATTGGGTGTCGGCGGCGACATGCAAAGAACTACGTATTAGAGAAATGATAGATAGATAGTAAATTGGTGTAATCTCTCACCGGGTAAAGGCCTCTTGGAGAAAGGATTTAAGATGAGACTTGAAGGAAGCAGGGAGTTAAAGGTGAGGGAAGAAAGAGAGCGTTCAAGGCATGGGGACCAGGGACCAGGGGCCAGGGAAAAGGCACTGTGGGAGGGAGTCGGTGCCCTGTGCCAGAAATTGCAAAGAATTCCGGTGTTACTGAATGGTGGAGTATGGGATAGCGATAGCCTAGGTCCACGCCAGCTCTAATATCCTATGATCCTGTGATTACCAGAGGGAAACAGATACGGGCAGCTGGGTTATCTCTAGGACTTAACTCTGACAGTAGTTAGTCCACACTGAGCCAAGTTCGGGGCTGGTGGTGATCTGTTTAGCAAAAAACCTATGGGGGATGGTGGCATATTTCTTTCTGGATAATGGGTTTAATTTCCCATACTTCCTGGGGAACAGAGAAAAAAACTCTGTTCGTTTTTCCATTCAACAAGCATTTGGTTAAAGATTTTCTTTTATGAATGGCAATGTTGGTCCATTTCATCCCTAGTCTTGTGAAATCATTTCTGATTTTACCTCTCTAAGCGTTGGCAGTCTGATGGGCCCAATTTAATGATTTCAGAATCATCCTAAAACAAAAGCCATGATATCTCATCCATTTAAGTTATGGAAATTAGTCATTGAAAAGATGGGATTAAATGATTTAACTCAGCCTTTTATGGATTTCTTCCTACTCCGAAATAGGATGTTGGTTCCAGTTATTAAACTGCCTAAGTATATGGTTCTTTAGTAGATTTTATTTTTTAAATAGAGTTAAAAGGAACCTGAGAGAAAGAAAGTTCAGTTTTTATATAAGTCTCTGCAATTGTTGATTGCTGTTGTCCATTCCTCAGCCTCATTAAATGTCATATTTGAATGAATGATACAAACTGACATTGATTTTAAGTTCAAGGTATCAGAAAAAATATGAATGACTAAAAAACAAAACAAAACAAAACCTGGAATTCAGTGTCCAGTAGTCACTATAATAGTGGGTTATTTCCAGGTAGTTGAATTTAGAGCCCTTGGATTTACCTTTTTGTTCCTGCAGGTCTGCAGAGATCTTTGCTAAACTTTTTTTTTTTTTTGGTTAAACAAATTTTTCCCCCTCTTAATAAGGGAGAGAGGCAGAATTAATTTAATGATTTAATAAGTACCCATTCAAAGAAGCTATAATTAAGGTTATGCCCACCCATAAGTATCAATTTATATTCTAGGGGCACTAAAGACCATCCAGGCTGTTATCATTAATCTTACCCCCAAAAAGCAGTTCTAAGAATACAGCTTTTGTGTGAGCATTTTGTAAATGTGTGGTAATAATTTTTGCATCTCTTTGTAGAGGAACAAGCCAGAAATCGTGCAATGGATGTCCAAGTTAATGGGAATCTTATTGGTGATGATTCAGACAATTTAGATTCCGAAGACGAAGATAATAGTGGACAACTTAACATGCGTGGAGTTTTTCTGCATGTCTTTGGAGATGCCTTGGGTTCAGTAATTGTAGTGATAAATGCCTTGGTCTTTTTCTTTTCTTGGAAATCTTGTTCTGATGGAATCTGTAAGAACCCATGTGTTGCTGAGCCCTGCCAGGCATTTGTAGGTCTAATTAATAGTACTGAACCAGTAGAAGAGGCTGGTCCTTGCTGGGTGCTATATTTAGATCCAACTCTTTGTCTTGTGATGGTTGGCATACTTCTTTACACCACTTATCCATTACTTAAAGAATCTGCCCTTATCCTTTTGCAAACTGTACCTAAACAAGTAGATATCAGAAATTTGAAAATAGAACTTCGAAATGTTGAAGGAGTTGAAGAAGTTCATGAATTGCATATTTGGCAGCTTGCTGGAAGCAGAATCATCGCCACTGCTCACATAAAATGTCACGACCCTGCATCCTACATGGAGGTGGCTAAAACAATTAAAGACGTTTTTCACAATCACGGAATCCATGCCACTACCATTCAGCCTGAATTTGCTAGTGTAGGCGCTAAATCAAGTGTTGCCCCATGCGAGCTTGCCTGTAGAACTCAGTGTGCGCTGAAGCAATGTTGTGGGACCACACAAAAAAGCAATTCTGGAAGGGAAATAGAAAGGAGTTCTGCAGTTAGCATTTCTTGTTTAGAACTTAGTGACAATTTAGAGAAGCAGCCCAAGAGGACTAAAATTGATAGTATACCAGCTGTTATGGTAGACATAAAGAAGATGCCAGATAAGCAACCAGAATCATCTATGTAAGTTTTCAACACGTGTGATGTTCAACTGGTTTTCATCTGCAAGAGGAAGAGACTCTCTGTTGAAATCTTAAGTTGCCAAGTAGTATAATTGCTGAAGTCCTTGTTTTGGTCACACTGTTTAATTCTATTTTTGTAAGAACATAATGGAATTGCATAACACAAAGTTTTATATTACAACTTTGTGATTATCAGTGCACAGTACAGCTATGCTGTAACAATTTTGGAAAGCCAGTTTTAACACTATGTTACATTTTTTTGTTAAAAATAAGTATAAACCTTGTATAACAATGATACTTTTGATTTTAGTTTTCCCGTAGCAAAATTTAATTGGGGATAAATAAATTAAAATTAATTCGTTACTAGAACTTCTCTGCTTTGTCTTTCCCCTCACCCAATATTTTACTTTTATTTGAGATTTCTTGATGAAACTTGAAATAGTATTTTTTTTTGTTTCCTTAGTTTAGATTACATTTCCCTTTCCCCTTTTGAAATTATTACATAGCATAATGGTAGCATTTTTTTTTTTAAACCGACTCATGGATGTTAATGGGAAAAGTAATTCCATTTTTTTTTCCATGTGGAGCAATTTTATCGTTTTACCAAGAAAAAGATCAATTACTATCTTGTATTAAGTCCTCTTCTTTATTGCTGAGTATTATTCCAGTTGCAATGTGAGACAATTAATGAGAAACTGCATTTTATACATATAATAGAGCGTTTGAAGAAGAATATAGAAGTTCACCCAACTGAACATCATTTAGATTCTTTTATAACTTGTTAATGTTTGGAAGAACATTTGGATTGTTTAAAAACTTTCAATACATGCATAAAACACTTGTCTTTCAAAAAATTATGAATATGTACATTATATAGAGGTGTTCACCAGCACTGCTTATGTTTGAAAGAAGATTGGTCTCCATTAGTAATACTGAAGGCTCGAAAGTTTACTCAGAGTATCTATGTATATAATTTAACTCTTTAATAGGTGTCTCAAAGATGCTGTTCTCAAGTTATTTCATGGCATCTATCCCCAAATAGATTTAGAAGAAAGCCGAGTTTTACAAATAGTGTTTTTGTTTCTTTGTGAGCCACTTACTAGGGAGAAAAAAAAAAATGGGAGGTTAATATCTCTTCAGTATTGAGTCCTTTAAAAATTAAATTTATAATTAAGGCTGAACTTCTCACTTCTATAATGTCTTGTCATTGCTCAGGTCTTCCAACAGTGACTTATTTTGAATATATACCATAACACCTACACATGAGTTGACTGAACTATGACTGAAATTGCTTTTAACTGTTTTCTTATTGCTGTTTCTTTTTAAGTACAGTTACTTAAACAGTATTTAAGACGTTTAAAAAAATTGTCTTGCTTGGAAGAATCATTATGCTTTTTTATTGTGTAGATTTTTTGTCTGTAATGAGACTAATATTGATGGACATCAGTTATCCTACATAGAACTATTTTGCCAAGAGCATAGTGTCCTACTTCAGTTGTTTTTATAGATGACTACTTCGGAAATGGCATATCTTTTTGAATTAGAAAACAATTCACTATTTAAATGCAAAGTTTAAGATAAAGATATTAAAAAAGACTGGAATTAGAAATTTCTTTTTTAGTGTATAATTCTTATAGTAGCAGGCATAAGTTTTCCCCTTCTAGTGTATGCCTGTTGCTGGCAATGGGCTTATTATTTTTTAAATAGGCCATGTTAATGGACAGCGTATATTCCATTAAGAATGACAGTGATTTGTGCTTGGAGAACAATGGGAACACAGTTTATAAATTCAGGTTTGCTAAAATGGGCCAAAACTGTAACCTGCCAATTGGGGTCTCTTAATACTATTTTGCTAATATATCACCCTCATAATTCAATTGATAATTCCTAAGCTAATAGGTATCTTTAAATTTTGTGCAAATTTAAATCTTTCTAACATAAAACGGGGGAATCTCATTATGTGGGTAAACAAGTAGAAAGCTGCTAATTGTACCATTATCATGTGCATTCCTGATTTAACATTGTAAAGTATGGAATATTTTATTAAGGTATTTCAAAGCCGAGTTTATATTTTGTAAACATTTCAGTAATGATACAAAAAAAAAACTGGTAAAATATCTTACCATCTAAGAAGGGTTCTCTGAACAAATGCACTATAATAGGGTCTGTTTCCTAAAGAATTGAGATTTTTTAAAAATATAAGCACAGGACAAGGGCTATGTTTTTCTCAAAAGTACTATAAAAGTAACCTGTAGGTGTAGTTATCTGGTTTTTCATAACTTGTTTTAGAGTAGTTTATATACAATGCATAAAGTGGTACCCTAGTGTGTTCCTTCTCAAAGTAATTTGTTATTTAATAGCAAAAGCAGTGGGCACTGACTCACCTTTTGAGTTTTAACAGAGAAACACTGTTTCTCTCTATAATGCACTTTCTAACCCAAAGTTACGTTGAAAACCATGGTTTTTTTTGTTTTGTTTTGGTTTGGTTTTGTATTTAAAATTCCTAGAATTTGAATCCCTTTTGCCTTTATGAAAGGAAATGGTGGGGGGGAATCCTCCCTCAAATTCTTAGGGCACTTGAGCCCAATATTTAAGGAAAAAAAACTCGTTTTGCATTTCTGCACCAGTTCTTTTGCCTTGTAGCTTTTTAAGCTGGCTTTTCCTTTGTGAGCAAGATCAGTGAGTTTATCATATGGACGCTTAGAATTTTGTCCGTTGTCCACTGTGTAGGAAAAGGAGGCACCTTATGTGCCAGAATTAAAACCAATCTAGAAAATTTTTTTTCCAAGCCAAATGCAGCCTTAAGGGAGACTAGATTCTCCATTGTGACATTTTAGCTTGTGTGATTGTTGAATTAGTGGGTTTGGAGTGCACATCTGCATTAAAAAAAGATATGAATTAGAAAAACTATTTTTACTCAGTGTATTTGAGTGTCTTTTTTTGGGGGGGAATGCCATATTTCTAAGGCAAGCAATTTGAGTAGGAATTTTTTTTTTTTCCATCAAGTACCCCACTGAAAATCACTGTCAGAGAAAGGGTGCTGGATTGTAAGGAAAACTTTTTGGCTTGCCATTATAATTTTTGAAGAACTTCTATTTAAGTTAATGTTCATATATTTGTTTTTTCTAAAATTAGAAACTTAAACACTAAAGGAAATAACAAGGATATAACATGAAAATACTTAAAGTGGGGTAACTGTTGGGTTAAAGATTTATTTGAATGCTAATACTTTTTTTTTTTAAGAAAGCTATAGATGTCACTTCTTCACCTTTTGTCTTAATGTCTTCACAAAGAGTATGAAGAAATAAACGTGAAGAGTAACTTGATTGTTGTGCTGAAGCTCTTCAGACTGTATAGAAGTATTGACTTAACGCTGAGTTTCAGTGTAATGGTGAATCACAAAACAGTGTTAAAATTTGACAAGGTAGCAGAAGATATTTTCCCTCTCCTTTTCCTGTTTAAGATTAGACCTGCGTCAACCTTTTTATTTGACCGTCTCTGAAAAAGGGTTGAATAGCATCATCTTGATGTAGCTTTACAGACCTTATGTGGAGCTGCAATTTCATTTTCCTGACAAAACCTGGAATATCTTAGCAATCGTTTTCACTGGCGAAGGGCCTCTGGTGTGTCCTACAATTGAAATCTTTAAACCAAAAATTTTGTCTTTGACAAAAAGATACTGAAGGGAATGTAGCATACAATGAGTATATATGGTTGTATATGAGACGTCTTGCTCAAGACTCAGAAATGGCCATGTTATCATTCTGCCTTGAAACAGCACAATGAAAGTGCATCAGTGTATGCTGTGATTCTTTATGGAATTTTCATAATGTCGTTTTAGTGTCTGCTATTGCCAGCTATTTAGGCAGATTGTGGTGCAGTTTTATGCAGTTGTCATCTCACTAAATGCAGATACAAATATATTTTCTGTGTAAAATTTTACCGATTTTGGTGTGTGTTTTTTTTTATATGTTTTATGACTGTACATTGTTTTCCAAAGCTGTTCCTACCTCACCATGAGGCTTTATGGATTGTTATGTATTATACATGTTCTATATGAGACAAGCTACTGTGTTTTCCCCCTCTTCTCATTTATTAAAAGTAGAAAAATAAACTAATTTTTACATATCTATTTAGTCATTTTGTGCATGCTCTTCATGCCATGAACTGAATATAAATAGGAGGGTTGGGTCTGATCAGGAGTTGAAAGGAAAATTATCATTTTTAATAAAAATACTGTGCTAGTTGGTAGGGCATATTTAGATCAACAGGAATATTGGTTAATTGAAAATATATCTACTGTTAGAAAGAAGATGCCAAAGAAGCACCCAATCATCTTTTACAAGCTTCTCAATTTTGTTTTCACATAACAAGAAGGGTCTGAAAGAAGGCTCAGTTGGTAGGAAATCAAGTCTGTCGACAAAAATTATAAAAGAAAACTATAACCCACTGCATACCTCTGCAAGCATTTGGGGTTTGCCTCTCCTATACAGCAACTTTTAACAATTTTTAGAAACCTCCTTTGTGATGAAAGTGTCCTAGCCATTAGACAGGGATATAAAATTTAGATAGGACGTGTGTGGTCTCTGACCTTATGGGACTTAGGAGATAAGACACATAAACAGTTGCTGTGATCCAAGTAATATTTAATTAATGGGTAGGAAGCAAATAAAAAAAGTAAACTGCTTTGAAAAATTGAAACAATCAGATCTTTGACAATGATTATTGGCGTGGGAAATTAATGACTGCTGCATTATTTTAGCCATCATTCCAAGCCTTTTGGTCAGGAAACCAAGTGCTCTACTTCCTGCATGAGGTGATTGGCTATTTGTTGAGGGTATTAAACACTTCAGAATTATTGGTAATGAGTACCTCTTATTAAATGGATAAGAATTTAGGCCATCCATACTCTTAATACATTTATGATATGAGTTGGAAGATGAGACAGACACAAATGGAACAGAGTAGAAAGGAGAGGAATTGTTGCTGTCTAGGAAAACTTAAGTAGGATTTGAGCTAAGTCTTGGAAGAGAGGCTGCAAATAAACGTGATTTAATAAGTAAGATAAGACACAAGCACACATTACTAATACCATATGCAATATAAGGGCATAAGAGATTAAATTCCCAAGAATTTATAAGGTGTTCAAGGAAGGGTCTATAGGAATGGTTATTTGAGATGGGTTTTTAAAAATGATTTAAAGAAGTAGAGTTCCTGAGTGAAAGGGCATTTCAGACACAAGTAACAAGATGAGTGTGGAGGCACAAAAATGGAGGAGGACTAGTGGGTAGTGTAGTTCAGAAGAAGAATAGGTAGAATCTCATAGACTAAAATACCTCAGGGAAAATTCACCTAGGAAGGATGGGAAGTTCTAAAGCAGGGGTTCTTAACCTTTTTTGTGTGATGGATCCCATCTCAGAATAATGCTTCTAAATGCATAAAATAAAATACATAGAATTACAAAGAAAACCAATTTTCAATCGAAATGTAATTATCAAAATAACATCTTCACAGACTTCAAGTTAAGAACCTCTGCTCTAAAGAGTGAAATTCTGAGGACACAAAGGGAAACAATGCTAATGAGGAAGAATTGTTTGAAGAGACGAATGGAGGCACAGAATGCTCAAGAATTCTTTCCCTGGCAATCACCCCTGCGTAATCTCTTAGTGAACCAGTTCATCTCTACACTGTCCTCTAGAGTCCCTTGCTCCCTTATCATCTTGCCCTGCCAAACTTCAGCCTTGAATCATTTCCATCATCTACTGCCTTCGCTCCTCCTATACATGTGCTGCTGAAGAAAGCTGTAGAAAATCACAGAACTGCTGACTGGGCCCTCACTGCTGCAAGGCAATCCTTTTACATATTCCTTATTAACTCATTATCCTACTTACTACAGTGACTCTGCCAAACCTTTTCATCCCTCCTCAAACCTCCTATGGCTTCCTCTCCCCCACTTTCTCAGCTGAGAACTTTGCCTGATATTCTACTGAAAAAAATGGAAAACATTCACCTAGAGCTCCCTCTTCTCCCCTCCTCCTCATCTCACATCACCCAGATGTCTTCTGCCACTATTTCCTCTTTCACTCCTGTTTCACGTAATGAGGTGGCCCTTCTCCTT